AAAAAAAAAAAAAAAAAAAAAAAAAAAAACTGCAGCTGATTAGGAGTAACTTTGATTAATTTGGGTTAAGTTATCAAAAGCTCAATGGCCTTTACGTTAACCCCATTAAAGTGCAGCTTCACACCGCTTGTCATGAAGTCCTTTCTATTCTCATTCGCCTGCGTTCACTCCAAGCAGCACCTCCGGAAAACACTGCTTAGTGACAAAGGCTCTTTCTGCAGGAAGACAGACGTTCTTGGTTGGACTTCATTTTTTACCCCTATTTCTCCCACTGGGGAGAAGACCCTCGACATTTTACCTCAGAAACATTGTTCTTCACCAAATAAAAGGATTACTTTTGGGGGGGAAGAGACTTTGTGAAAACGAATATTTCATCAAAGAACAAGGATAGCTTGGACCAGCTGATCCCTCCACTTCTCTCTTGAAGGGCCTCTCTCCTGAGCCCCACCCTCCATCTGCCCGCTGAGCGCTGGCCGCCTGTTGGCCTGGGTGATCACGCTCACTGGGGCTGTGGTCTGCCTGGGAGCCCCCACCCACGGCTACCAAACGCACCTGCTCACGTCATCCGTCCTGGAGACCAACCCCCACATTCACTTTCAGTCTCCTGTTTTGCTATAAAAGGGACCAACACCTTTTGAAAACAACTCATCATTACTAATCAAATGGAATTTAGGTTTTGTAGAAGCAACTCATTGTTTATTCAAATTCATGTTTTATCCTTTAAATAGCATGGGATAATGTGCAAAGTAGAAAAGTTCCTTTTAAAAGTTGTCTTTCTTGTTAAAGAATAAGTGTGCTGAGGGTTACAGCTCTTTTAGAATTTGTCTAGCAGGCTTTCTGGTTTTTGCCAGAAAACCCCTAAAAAAAAAGAAAAGAAAAAGATAAGTGTCCTAGTAATTCTGTCAAGCCCTAACCTACGTAGCCGTTAGGCAGACAGTGCTTACAGGCACGTAGTACATTCTATATCCTTGTACGTTAACCAAGATATCTGTGCTGGACGTGCTCACAGGCATGTCCCATCTCTCCAATGCTTTCACCTGTTTAGAAAAGTTTTAAGTTGTTAGCCAATCGTGTTTTAGTTTAGATGGTGAGGTCCGGCTCCAGCCAATGGAGATCAGACACAGCAGTGAGGACAACCCTAAAAGTGTTAGGAATAAATTTGTGTGTTTTCCTTTGCTCATTGCACTCTCGTGGCCAGATGGCTAGTGAGAGTACCACGGGGTAAACATTGCATGGCTAAAAGATCCTTTGTCTCCACGCTAATTTTTCTTTGCGACACTGCGCATCTATTTCCAACAGATAAGTTACATTGCTGCTATAGTATTGTCAATGATCATAAACGTGACTCCAGGTGAACAGGCGCCATGGCATAGACACAGCGGTGGTGGCAAGAGCAGCACAGCATCCATGGCCCCGTGCCCTCCCCCAGTCTCCAGCGGCTCCATCTCTGGAGGGCATGGAGAGCCCTGGGCAACCTGGCAGGTCAGCGATGCAAAGGTGATTCCAAGAGGACCTCTGTAGTTTCCCTGTTTCCCAAGGTGCTCCTTCGTTCATCAAAACGAACACCGGGCTTAGTGGCTCACGTCTATATTACTAGCACTTTGGGAGGCCAAGGCAGGTGGATTAGGAGGTCAGGAGTTCAAGACCAGCCTGACCAATACGGTGAAACCCTGTCTCTACTAAAAATACAAAAATTAGCAGGGTGTGGTGGTGTGTGCCTATAGTCCCAGCTACTTGGGAGGTGGTGGCAGAAGAATCACCATAAACTGGAAACCACTCACACCACCCAAGTTCTTTCCATTCTCTCTGATCTTAGTGGCAACAAATTTAATTCACTGCCCTGCTACGTCTTGCTGAGAAAGCACATATGGAGCACCGGGTAGATGACGGAGAATGCTTCTCATCTGTGCTAGTCTGCTCTCATGCTGCTGTGGAGGAATGCCTAAGCCCAGGGAATTGACAGAGGAAAGAGGCTTAATTGACTCACAGTTCCACATGGCTGGGGAGGCCTCGGGAAACTTGCCATCATGGGAGAAAGTACCTCTTCACAGGGCAGCAGGAGAGAGGGTGAGTGCCAGCAGGGGGAACGCCAAGTTGTTGTAAAGCCATCAGATCTCATGAGATTCACTGACTAGCATAAGAACAGCACGGGAGAAACTGTCCCCATGATTCAGTGACCTCCACCTGGTCCTACCCTGGACGCGTGGGGATTATTACAATTCATGGTGAGATTTGGGTGGGGACACAGAGCCAAACCATATCACCGTCACCCCAGGAGTCTCAGCAGTTTGAAGACATCAACCGATAATTCCTCCTGGTAGCTGTTAGGGCAATGCAACTAGAAAGGACATCCCAGGGCTCCCTGCCATGCCCTGGACTACGGCTGCTGCTTGGGGTTTGTGGGTGAAGATGGAACCAGGAGGGGTAGCACCCACCATCAGCTGCCTGACCCGTGCCCTCCTGCTGCTGACTCAAAACAGATCAGTGCAAGGCTACAGTCTCAGATGTCAGCTCACACTCCAAAGAGAACCTTACAAAAACATCTCCTGCCCACTCCACCTCCACCCCAGCCCCAGCTCCTGATGCAAAGGGGAAAATAACCAACTGTTGGGCTGAGCATGGCTGGTGGCTCATGCCTGTAATCCAAGCACTTTGGAAGGCTGAGAGGTGAAAGGACAGTTTGAACCCAGGAGTTCCAGACCAGTCTGGGCAACACAGGGAGACTCTGTCTCTACAAATAAAAAAATAAAAAGAAATTAGCTGGGCATGATGGTGTACCTTTGTGGGCCCAGCTACTCTGGACTGAGGCTACACGATGGCTTGAGCCCAGGAGGTAGAGGCTACAGTGAGCCATGATTGTGCCTCTGCGCTCCATCCTGAGTGATAGAGTGGGATCATCTTTTAAAAAGTCATATTAACTGTTGACTGTTTTAGATGTCTCTCCTACCATTCCATTTTGTATTTTAAGTAACATTTATACTACTACTTATTGATTATTTGGGATGGGAAGCTGGGTACTAATGGTCTCCTGTGGAAGGTGATAATTCAGTGGATGTATTCCTGAAATTCCACTACACACACACACACACACACACACACACACGTTCACAACCACTGTCCAAAGTAGACTACAATTTTCTTTCTTTTTTTTTTTTCAAGTTCACTTATCCTTTCTTTTTTTATTTTTATTTTTATTTTTTTATTGCATTTTAGGTTTTGGGGTACACGTGAAGAACATGCAAGATTGTTGCATAGGTACACACATGGCAGTGTGATTTGCTGCCTTCCTCCCCTTCACCTATATCTGGCATCTCTCCCCTTGCTATCTCTCCCCAACTCCCCACCCCCTGCTGTCCCTCCCCTATTTCCCCCGACAGACCCCAGTGTGTGATGCTCCCCTCCCTGTGTCCATGTGTTCTCATTGTTCAACACCCGCCTATGAGTGAGACCATGCGGTGTTTGATCTTCTGCTCTTGTGTCAGTTTGCTGTACAGTTTCCTTTCTTTGCAAAGATTTTTCTTTTTCTTTGTTTTTTTCTGGAGTTCACAATTTTCTTTTACCTATCACGCCCTGCACCCAAACTTTCTATTGGAGCTGGAAGATTCCTCACGGTGCAGGGAAGCACATCAGGCCATGGGCAGCCCCTTTCATGAAGGGCTGGGAGAGTCTCTCCATCCTGCTCCCCCAAGACCAGCCCCGCCGCTCTCCTGGGGGCTCCCCTTCACCCTTCACCTGCTGGCGCACACTTTTCCATGTCTGGGGCTGTGCGTGGGATCCTCCTTCATTTTCTAGTTTGAAACATGCCCATTAGCTTTTGGGGGAGACAATGCGCACAAGATCTTTTATTGAGACTTTGAATATTTGAAAACACTTTTAAATTTTATTTTGACATTTGAAAGCTTAGATAATGTACAATGTTTTAGAAACAACTGAATGAATGTAAAAGAGAGAGAGAGAGAGAGAGAGAGAGAGAGAGAGAGAGAGTGTGTGTGTGTGTGTGTGTGTGTATGTGTGTGTATCACTGTTGCAACTGAAAGAATCCCAATCTGAAAACCATTAATGAATTCAGGCGTCCTGGGCTGGGGCTGGACAGTTTTCTGAGAAGCGAAGGCTCCAGGCTCCATCGGGCACTTGGAACTGGAGAGGAAGGAGCTGGAAGGCCCTGCCTGGGCTCCGGCTTTAGGAAGATGCCTGGCCGCATCCTCAGCTGTGCATGCATCCTAGGGACCACAGCCCTGCTGGGTGAGGCCTCCAGCTGGGCTCCCTGCCTGCTGGCCTGTGTGGGGTGGTCAGGGGAGCAGCTGCACATCTGTGTGGGGGGCAGCAGGGGTCTGTGCATTCTGCTTTTCATCAAACGCAAAGACCCCTTCCACTCCCCGCCCTCCCCACCATCCCTGCCTTCAGAGCTGCTCTGAAGAGGTGGCTCCGATTTCTGCTCAGCGTGCTGAGGCCCCTGCACCTCCACGTGTCTTACCCTTCCTGAGGCTGTGGCGTCAGCTCCCTGCTGTTCATGAGGCCAGGCCACGTGTCCAACCACCTTCAACTTCCAGAATCATCTGTACTCGCCCGATGAGCTTTCGTGTTCTTTTTTGTTCCCCCCTCATAAGTTCCTGCTTATTTTTATTCCTTAATTTTATGAAAGCTCTGAGCAAGAGGGTTCTCATGTGAGTCTGTTCGGATATATATGATGGACTGGGAGCATGTTAAGAAAAAACAAAGAAACATTGGTTTGAACATATATTGGACCATTTTCCCATTACGTTCTGACAAAATAAATTCTGTCTACACTTGGAGGCTGGAGGCAGACACAGAAGGAAGTTGCAGGTGCCCCCTGGGCTTTCTCTCCTCCCCAGTGGCTTTTCTGATTCCCCCGTTGAGTCTTCCTCCCAGATTTCACACGGGGCTGGCAGAAAACAAACAACAACAACAAACACACATGCACATATGTGCGCACACATACACACATGCGCAGGCATGCACACACACGTGCACGCACACATTTACACGTGCACACTCACAGGCACACACAGAGGCACATACATGTGCACACTCACACACATGCAGGCACACACACATGCACAGGGGCACACACACGTGCATACACACACCCAGGTATGCATGCACACACAAGCAAGCACACACACATAACACACAGACACATACATGTGTGCACTCATGCACACACACACGCACATGCTCACACATGCACACTCACATGCACACACATACAGGAACACACGTGAACACACACACAGGCACATGCTCACATGCACACACATACACACACTTGCATACGCACATGCTCAGGCACACATGCACACACAAAAGCAAGCACACACTCACACATACACACACACAACTTTACAGAACTCCCAGGACACAGCAGGTACCTCATGCAGTTTCGGGGCAGGGGAGCAGGGCTTGAGGGCACTTACCGCTCCTCTCTGACACCCACCACAACTTGGTCTGCCATGAGGGCACCTCAGTAAAGATTTTTACATCTAAACTTTCTACAGGAACTTTTCACTTTCCGTCTCTGATTTCTCCCAGTAGTTCACTTCTGCTGCTGCTTTCTCTGCCTCTGGGGCTGGCTGGAACCTCAGCTTCATGGTCTCTCAGCCTGAGAGGCTTCCCCTCTGCCTCGGGCCTCATGTGCCCAGGCCCTGGCACCCAGCTCCGCCCCCCTGAAGCTGGCATCCTCGCAATTTCACTTTTGCATAATTCCTTCTGTTGTCTCTGGCTCCCCCAGTAGACAGTCTGTGTTCCACGTGCAGCGTCGTGACTGGTTCTGAGCAAATGACAGGTTCCCGATGGACATTCCCAGGGAGCAGCTGCCCCAGCTCTCAGTCCTGCTGCCCACAAGTCCCTCGCTACAGACATTCCACAGTGTGGACCCACCTCCCACACTGCAGGTGTGAATTTTAAAACAAATGTGTGTTCCTCTTTGATGTAGTAACTACAGCCTTATTTAAAATTCTTATTGGGTTTGATTTAGGAACATAACAAATTAATTTTCAAATTAAATGTGTGTTTTTGGAAATTTTTATACATAGGTTGAATACCAAGTTTATACTCATCCTATGAAACATTAAAACTCAAGGGATATGTGGCACCCTGTGGTGCCGCAGTGCAGCACGTGAGCGTGTTTACGTCATGTATTTTTATACATGGCACCGTCACATGCTTGCACACTCGGGTGTTTCTTCTGTTGGTTTGAATAGGAAGAAGTCAATCCTGATGTTTAAGGGTGGCCTGCGATGCTGAATTTTTGTTTCCATTGGAATAACTGATAGCTTCTTGACTCTTTTTTTTCCTCAAATAACTCCACCCCCGTGATGTGGTTTGGATTTCTGTCCCCACCCAAATCTCATGTAGAATTGGAGGAAGGGCCTGGTGGGGGGTGACTGGATCATGAGGGTAGATTTTCCACTTGCTGTTGTGGTGACAGGGAGTGAGCTCTCGTGAGATCTGGTTGTCTGAAAGTGTGTAGCACTGCCGGGCGCGGTGGCTCACACCTGTCATCCCAGCACTTTGGGAGGCTGCGGGGGGCAGATCACGAGGTCAGGAGTTCAAGATCAGCCTGGGCAATATGGTGAAACCGTGAAACCCATCTCTACTAAAAATACAAAAATTAGCTGGGCCTGGTGGCACACACCTGTAATCTCAGCTACTCGGGATGCTGAGGCAGAAGAATCACTTGAACCTGGGAGGTGGAGGTTGCAGTGAGCTGAGATTGTGACACTGCATTCCAGCCTGGGCAACAGAGACTCCGTCAAGAAAGAAAGAAAGAAAAGAAAGAAAGGAAAAAGAAAGAAAGAAAGAAAGAAAGGAAAGAAGAAAGAAAGAAAGAAAGAAAGAAAGAAAGAAAGAAAGAAAGAAAGAAAGAAAGAAAGAAAGAAAGAAAGAAGAAAGAAAGAAGAAAGAAAGAAAGAAAGAAAGAAAGAAAGAAAAGAAAAGAAAGAAAGAAGGAAGGAAGAGAAAGAGAGAGGAAGGAAGGAAGGAAGGAAGGAAAGAAGGAAGGAAGGGAGAAAGAGAGAAAGAGAGACAGAGAGGGAGGGAGGGAAGAAAGAAAGAGAGAGAGAGAGGGAGGGAGGGAGGGAGGGAAGAAAGAAAGAGAGAGAAAGAAAGAAAGGAAGGAAGGAAGGAAGAAAGAAAGAAAAAAGAAAGAGAGAGAGAAAGAAAGAAAGAAAGAAAGAAAGAAAGAAAGAAAGAAAGAAAGAAAGAAAGAAAGAAAGAAAGAGTGCAGCACTTCCCCTCTCACTTCCTCTCTCCCCTGCTCCACCATGATAAGACAAGCTTGCTTCCTTCTCACCCTCCACCATGATTATACGTTTCCTGAGGCTTCCTAGCCATGGTTCCTATAGAGCCTGCAGAACCATGAGCCAATTAAACCTCTTTCCTTCGTAAATTACCCAGTCTCAGGTAGTTCTTCATAGCAGTGTGAGAATGGACTAATACACGCCTTAAGGCATCTTGAAGTCACAGTTTTGTCTGGGCGTGGTGGTGCATACCTGTAGTCCCAGATACTTGCTGAGGTGGCAGAATCATGAACCCAGGAGTTTGAGGCTGAAATGAGCTATGATTGTGCCACTGCATTGCCAGCCTGGGTAACAAAGCAAGACTGTCTCAAAAAACAAAACAAGACAAACAAGAACACACAATTCTATAGGCGCAAGATCTGGCTTGAGACTTGGTACAGTGAATGCACTGTAATTCAGCTGTGATTCTTTACCCCTTGTTCTTTCCCCAGTCTGAAATTTAAAGGAAGTACAATATAGAAGATTACTCTCTTTTTAAGTCTATGTTTTAAGCAATTTCATTATCACATAATTGCAGCGTATTACTTTGCTCAATTTTAAAATAACCATTGGCGTGAACAAGGTGTCTAATGTGGCAACAAATATTTCCCAGAGTACAAATGGTCTAATGTGGGTAAATACGTTCACATGGCAGATACTATGAAGAGTAAAACAAAATAGTAGTTTTTAAAATATGAGACTATTAAATTTAATTGTAAGCTTAAAAATTAAGTTTCATTGCCCGCAAATAATTTTAATAAAACTTATATCTCTTTCATTGAATCTTAAGAAAGCAAAAACAAGAACAGAATAAGACATTCATATTAAGTAACAAAAGGAAAAGTTCCCAGTGCCAGGAGCTATTTGATATTTGAATACGTTACCAAGAGACGGTATGAAATTTCTGAAACTTTAAGGGGAAAAAAAATGACACCAGTTTGCAACCGCTTAGTGTAACTTAAGTATAAATCCCGTAGGTAAAATCCCCTGGCTGAGGTGGCTGGGGGGCGAAGCTGGCCCTCGGGTCTACTCGAGGGCACTGGGGCAGGAGATTTTTGCCATTGGTGAAATGGCAAAGAATAAATACTGTGCTTACAATCTGCAAGTATCATGGTGCAATTAGCTGTGGTTATTTCTCAAGGCTCTTTTTGCACAAGTTAGTACTTGGTCGGTTCATCATCTCGTCCATCAGCCTTCTTTCTCACACGTCTCTTTCTTGTTTCTTTATCACTCCAGAAAGGACATGCTGAAATGTCCATAAAGAGAATGTTCTGGAATGAATACCAGGCGGTGTGGGGTTAGAAGGCCAGGACTGGGAAGCAGGGGTGGGGTCAGAAAGTGCAGGGAGACTGGCTCCTCACATACCTATCCCCAGAGTGGATTCCAACCCGTAGCCCAAGGCTGAATATCCCAAAGGGATAAGCTGAAACTTTTCTTTTTCTCTTGATTGTTCATGGCTAATGATAAATTCAAAAATCAAATCAAGGGAAAATTAAGAGAATTCACTGGATAATTTATAAATAGATGATGAAAGCACAAACACACATTTGTGCCCAGACTGTCCACCTCCCTGAGTGGAGATTATCTGGGCCTGCATGGAATTTTTGCCTGCATGAAAATCACTGATAGATAAATATTGGCACAATACAGTGTTCTGTTCTAACCGTCTAAATATTCCATGACACTCGACATTTCTGCCTTGCAGGGTGGCTTTGAGAGACACCCTGAAATGAGGCGATGAACACAGAAGTTCTCCCTAGACTATGAAGCGCTTTATAAGTGAAGCAATGAACTTTTACAGACCAACACTGTTATGGAAGATTTTCATTCTTTAACGAAATGACCATTTTCATTCTTTAACGAAATGACCATTCTTGCGCATGCGTGATTCTTTGTCATGAGTAAGAACAGAACTTGTGTGTATTAGTCTGTTCTCACATTGCTAATAAAGACATATCTGAGACTGGGTGATTTATAAAGAAAAAGAGGTTGAACAGACTCACAGCTCCACATGGCTGGGGACGCCTCATAATCATGGCAGAAGGTGAAGGAGGAACAGAGGCACATCTTACATGGCGGCAAGCAAGAAAGCATGCGCAGGGGAACCGCCCTTCATCAAACCATCAGGCTTATTCGCCATCATGAGAACAGCATAGGAAAACCCACCCCATGATTCAATTATCTCCATCTCCATCCGCTCCCTCCCGTAACATGTGGAGATTATTTTTATTTTTATTTTTTATTGCATTTTAGGTTTGGGGGTACATTTAAAGAACATGCAAGATAGTTGCATAGGTACAAAACCATTCAGGACGTAGTCGTAGGCAAGGACTTCATGACCAAAACACCAAAGCATTGGCAACAAAAGCCAAAATAGACAAATGGGACCTAATCAAACTCCATAGCTTCTGCACAGCAAAAGAAACAGTCATTAGAGTGAATCGGCAACCAACAGAATGGGAAAAAAATTTTTGCAGTCTACCCATCCGACAAAGGGCTGATATCCAGAATTTACAAAGAACTAAAACAGATTTACAAAAAAAAACAAACAAGCCCATTCAAAAGTGGACAAAGGACATGTAGAGATTATTACCATTCGAGGTGAGATTTAGGTGGAGACACAGAGCCAAACCACATCACTGTGGTTTTTACCTGAACAGGCAGCATCGTTTACAAGAGCTTGATTTTTCAGGTGAGAAAGTTAGCGCAGTTCCTTCTTCTGCCTGAGGTTTAGCTGCTCCTTGGGAGTACCCGGGCTTCCCTAACCACAACAAAATGCACACGGCTGTGGAAAGGGCAGCATTGATTTTTCTCAGCCACCCCACCCTCCTGACCATGGAGACCGCAGTATCCATTTCCCAGCCTCCTCTTGCATCTGAATGCTTGGATTAGTCACCTGCAACCTCAGATGCTGGGCGAAAACCCAGGAGACACCAGAGCCCTTCTAGCCAACATCTCTCCATTGCTCAAGAGCAGAAGCTGCAGGAAACGCAAGCCCTGGGTGCAAACATCGCCATGCAGTGTGCGCCTCCTAATGCCACTTCCAATGGGAAACTGATCCAGACCATGCTGGGCAGTGCCACAGCCCTTTTGTTCTCTGATCCTTCCATCTCCTGCCTCCCTGGGCACCTGGGGTTAGCACCACACTCCTTAGGCTCCTGTCTCTTCTTCAAAGGGTGAAATGTGGCCACACACTGATCCACGTGACTTCTTAATTCCCCTCTGGGGCATCCTTTTCTTCAACAGATGTTTTCAAAATAATTAAGTGATGGGGATCATGCATTATTGAAAACGCTGGATGCCTCCCTAATGTTCTTCACATTTGTATATTTGTCAGCACAAAATTGAGTGCTTGGAAATGTTGTGCTTATTTATTTTTTAAATTACTGAACACACTCATCCTAGCCAACTGAGGAGAGGGGAGCAGCAGCTGAGCAAGCTCTCTGGTTCCTGCAAACATTCCACAATCAGTGGTTTGGGCCATCATGAAGTCCTGCAGGATTTGGGAGCAAGGAACCCTTTAAAACACTATTCAACTGATTACCCACCCATAACATAATCCCCCAAATTGGAGCTATTTATTTATTTATTTTAAAAATTTCAGGAATTTTACCTTCTCTCTTGGTAACCATTTTCCAATGATAAATAGCTCTTGGTCTAAGAAAATGTCCTTTTTCCTAGAAATATCCGTTTGGTGTGTAGAATCTTAAAGTCCGGTTCACCTGCACCCCTTACTGTTGTCTTGGAACTTGCTTGGGGCACATATGACATTTCCGGACCACTTGGTCTTAGATCTGATTGTTATCTTCACCTAGGCAATGCAAAAATCTCAGTGTTTTCGATGCCCGTGTTTCCAACATTACAGACATGGTAACAATTCTGAGAAACATATGAGTCTATGGTATTAAAATGAATTTGTAATTTTCATGTGATTCTAGATTGTTATCTCCCTTTGTGAGCATATTTTTGGGTGTCATTGGTATTTATTGTTAGAAAATATTCAAACTGGGTGCTGTAAGCCTGGGCTGACATCCTGCAGGTTTTCACTCCATGTCTCAGATCTGCTTGGGAGACACTCTCCAAGGTCACAAGTGACCGAATGTGTCTTAGGATAAGATGCTTTCAACAAGGCGGCAGATTCTCATGCCCATAAGAGCTGCTCAGATAAAAGCATGTCTTTCTAAAAGGAAATTTTCTGGAAAAATGTTGTTCCAGAATGCCTTGGCTTTCAAGCTAAAAATTTGCTTATTTACATTTTCCACAAATATTTACAGAGTAGTCACCTCATTGCAGGGTCTGTAAATTCAGCCATAAATGTGACAAAAGACCGCCCAGTTTTCATGGAGCTTAAACAGCTGGGAAAGGGGTAAATCAGCAGTGTCTTAAGGCGTGTCCCAGTCTCCTGACAACTGCATGCATGCACACATGTCACTTCCTGGC